GCACACACACACACACGCACACACACACACACGCACACACACACACACACACACACACAGTATGTCAGATAATACTGAAGTGGTGTATTTCAGTGTCAGCAAATGTGAGTGAGTTTATCTCGTGTTAGAAACAAATGCGGGTGGTGCCAGCCCCTCAGATGCAGCACTGGTGTGTTCTCTGTTGCCAACTCGTGCCCAGAAGAACCACTTTCCACAATCAGCCATGCACAAGCAGAACAATTCATTTCCCTTCAAGGGAATAAGAATAATACGTACACTCTGCGGCTGGGATTTGCGGTGACCGTAAAGCTGCAGGATCTGAAAAACAAAAGATTGACATTTTTCAGTTCAAAAACACTTTATAAATCCAAAAAGAAAATTTAATTTAATTTGCTTGTTTGAAAAAATATTTTTAAATCATATTTTTAAACACATTTATTTGACTTTTATTTAACTTTAGCAGTGAGGCAAGGTTAGTCCCAGCAGTTAAGCCCTACTTTTGATCCTCAGTGCAGTCTCCTCACAAAGCATCACGATGTTCCAAAATCTGGAGTGGCCTTTCTAATGATCTTTTTGATACTTATACGGGCATGAGATTAATTCAAGACTGTCCCGAGATGCTAACGTTTGTCCTGGCAGAGTAAGCTCCTCCATGTTGTTTTTGCATGATAAGACCTCAAAGAGCATCTCTTATCGCTCCGTTTCATCCTTTCTGTTTACATCCACCTGCATGCAGCAGAAGAAGCCCGAAGGAGATGAAAGCCTCAGGCATGTTTTACCCTGTATGACCACAATCACCTCTCTGCAGCCGGTCCTCGCCCTGCAGGATTACTGCAAGCACAAACCTATAAATCTGGATCTTGAATAAGCACTGTATTAATTTCTTTCCTGGTTGAAGGGGAAGTGAAACGAGCTTCAAGAACAAAACTAAAACAGTGCTGTGTTGAGTTTGTAGCTGATAAAATCATTCAAAGTTTAAAAAGATGAAGCAACATTATTTTTGACACGAAGTCATGCTTCTGCTCAGATGATGATGTTTGGCTCTTTAGCTGCAAAAACTCCACAACATTCACCATCGAGCTTCTCCACTAGCCCTCAGCTTGAAGTGAAGACTTGTTTACATGGAATCGTGCTCAGCGAGTTCTTCAGACCAAACATCATGAAGTGGATGATAAACATGGAGTAACAACTGCAGATGTTTGCGTTTTGTTTTATAAAGATGTGTAATAGTTCCATTTCCTCCTCTATATAAGTTTGTCTAAACATCTACAGAAACTAGGGTTCAATTTAGTCAAAAATTACAAACCTCACAATGTTTGTCTACCTTTTAAGCTCGTAAAGAAGCGGTATGTTGCTACAATAGGAAAAATACTTTGCAAAGATGTTAAAAATCTTTTTAAACTCACTTGTTGTTCCAGTCTTTGAAAGTCCTCAGCAGCTTCTTTTCTGTCTTTTTTCTTGCGGAAAATCTCTTCCAACTAAAAGAAATAAAACACGCATTAGGGAAAAGGGCGCACAGGCAGTCAAACTCCTGTTTTGACGTCTGATAATCAAGACGAGATTCATACCACCAAGAACTCCCTTTTGTCCACCATTTCATTCCCATCAGCATCAAACATGTTGAAAGCAATCCGAAAGCCTGCATGAGGCTCTGAAATCACAGGGAAGTTGATTACAATGAAGAAATAAGGGTTTGTGTAAAGTGAGTTTAAATGTATACTGACTTGTTAAAATGCAGAGCAGGAAGAGGTACTCGGTGTAACTGATGACACCTGGAACAAAGAAAGAAACATGAGTCGAAGCAAGAAACAAAAAACCAAAATGTTCCTTTTTCGCGCTCAGGACGGCATCAAACAGCTTTAACCAGTCAGCTCAAGGTGTTTACAGATGTTCAAAGTCATGCTGCCGAGGTGAATAAGCCGCCCAAAGGAATGGGGCACGCCTCCAGACGTAAGTAATCTCTGCGCTCACTGATAACATCTTAAAAGGTGCTTTTTACTTCATGCTTTGGGTGTTCCACACTCACACAAACATGAGCTCTACAACCGAGCTGACCTATCCGGACACAAACCCAAACAAATTTAAGGCCTACACGGCTTCTGATCGCGCTTGGGTAACAAGGCGTAATACGCTCTGAGGTAATCTGTCACTGATTGAGAATGGTCGAATCAGGTTTTGTGTGGCGTCCTTCAGCTGCCTTTGTTGCGCGACACGGAGAGTGGAAGACTAAGTGTCAGGAGACGTCTCAGCCGACTCACAAGGCTTCTCCCTCCTGCCTCTGAAAGCATTCCCAAGCTTTTGTTTGCTCGGGATGATAGAGAATCGGGCGCAGATAGTCCCGGGTGACTGCTCGGGGTGTTGTGGGAAAAGAACGCCTTTCATGCTCGGGTTTAAAACTGAAATCATCTTATGCAGAGAAATGACAAGACTTGTAGCTGTTTTGATCAGAAGGTACAGTTATGCACAATCTCATTCAATATTGTGAGATTTGTGCGCTGAGCAGACATTGAGAATGACTCTCAGCTAACTCAGTATCTTTAAAATGAGTTTGATCTTATTGACCACAGCACCTATAGAGAAATAGTTCAGGTATTTTTTTTCTTTAAGAAATGACCTGGTCGCTGTTCCATGAAGCTCATCTCTGAAAATGAGTGGTCCAGCTCCAACACGGCCATTAATAGGCCTCCTGGATGTTTATCTGATTTCTTACCTGGTCTAGGTGATTTAGTGGATGAAGGCAGGTTTGCTGTGATGGCATCAACTTTCTGTTTTCTTATAATGGATTGAAAGAAGCTCTGTAGAAGGTTCAAGATATGTTTTAACCCAACCCTGATCTGATTTTCTTCACAACTTTGTTTCTGACCTGTGTACAGAGTTCACCTGGTGGTAGCTCACATTACTTAAAGAGGAACTTTCCCCAAAATAAACTTTTTTTGCAGATAAACTGTCTAAACTGTGACCTAAGGGTAATACCTTTCTATTTATGACTAAAATTCAACATTTTGGACTAAAACTGTTTAAAGGGCCAATATTATGTGTTTCTCCGGCATATATTTAAATACTATACATTAATAAAGTATCTATGTCACCTTTAGCTGTTATTAAAATGCTGCTTTTATGTTTAAATAGAAAATAAACATTTCTTGTCATCTCTTCCTCTTCTAAATGCTTTGAAATTAGCCTGTCTCTTTAAAAACCTTCTGTCCCATCCTGTCCCTGTCGGAGGGGGTGGGTGTGCGCACGCATACGGGGGTGGTATGTTTCTCCTGTGCGCTATGATGCAGTTTACTTGGCATCTGAAAATACATTTCCTCAAAGGTATTTTGAATCTGAAAAGAGCTTCACTGAGTGAGAAGTAGTGTGGAGAGCAACGGACAGTAATGGTGCGTTCACACCAAATGCG